GTTTAAGACTTAAGAAATTATACAACTATAAGATTTCTACCAGTCTTTAGCAATATACTCAAATGTAATTTTTAGAAAAATATTTATACGTACATAGGGAAAACATAGTTCTTTAGAATGGTTGTATTAGAAGCAAGTAATTGCTGATTAACTGGGCTGTCCATGCTGGGTCAGCCAGACTGAACTGATGTGTGTTCCCAGCCACTTCACAAATACTGAATTCCTATCTGTGCCTATTAGGCCCTGGCACTTAATAATCGAGGTGCTTGCTCTCAGGGCAGGTCCATTTCATTCTGGCAGAAGGACTTGAGGGGGCAAACAATAAGCAAGTGAGCCAAAGCAAACACTATTCTGGTTTGTGGGTGGCCCCAGGAAGAAAACAAAAACACAGCATATAGCTATGGGTTAATGCTGGGTGCTCAGAAAGTAGGGCAGGTCACTTAGAGGGACAATAAAATAGCACTTCTCTGAAGATGTGACATTATAATTGGGAATCACATAGACCAAAAGAGCTAAACATATGAATTCTGGGAAGCATTGTTCTATACCTGAGGAACAGAAAGTGCAAAGGCCCTGAGGTAGAAAAAGCCTGGCATGATGAAGACATAGCAAGAAGGTAGTATGGATGGAGAGAAGTAGAAGGAAATTAAAGAGGTGGGCATGGGACACTCAGTAAAGAATTTTACTTGCTGGCAAGGACTTCACTTTTAAGTGAAGTAGGTAGGGGGATGGTGTGATTTTATTTCTTATTTATAAAGATCACTTTGGCTATTGCAGGAAAAATGGGTTTGGGGAGATTGTGTCCTGGAGCAGGAGCTCAGGTAGGATTCTATTTAAATACTCCAGGTGGTGCTGGCAGAGGCTGCTGCTCAGGAAGGCAGGAGACATGCATGGATTTAGGATATGATTTGGAGGAAAGAACTGATAGAGCCTCTATGAACTGTAGATAAACTGCACAGGAGTAGAAGTTATGGGGAAAGGGGAATCCAGGCTCCCTCCTGTGTTTTTGCCTAGAGGTGAATTTACTGTGGACCCAGTTGCTGAGGTGGGGCAGATGTGAGTGAGCAGAGCCTGAGAAAAGGGTAACCAAGGGCTCTGTTTTTGCTCCTTTAGATATTGAGACTTCCAGGTGGACATATGAAGTGCAAGGCATGCGTAATGCCAGAGGTGAGGCCAGGAGCCAGAGGTGGAGGCAATCAGCACGTTGATGTTTGAAACGCTGTGAGTTCAGCTGGATGGGGGTGTGGCAGATGGAGAGTGGAAACCCAAGACTGAGCCCTGTGAGGGGGTAGCAGTCACAAGTGAGAGACAAGGGGAAGTGGGTTTGAAAATTAGAGATAGCTAATTGAACCAAGTACAACTGAGGGCTGGGTAAAGTGAGAACAGTGAGGTGACACTGGGTTGGCTACGTGGAGGCCTCTGGAGGTCTTGACTGAAGTAGTTTCTGCTGAGCATCCTGCTTTAGTCGGGAGAAACAGAACCAGGTCCCTATGCCTGGGCAGGCCGGGCTCTCGGGCAGGAGCAGCCACTGCAGGCCATAGGGAGGATTTCTTCATCCTCAGGAAACCTCAGCTCGGACCTTAAAACCTTCCCACAGACTGACTCAGCCCCACCCAGGAAATGGAGCCTAACCTCCTTTCCTTAAGGTCAAATGATTGCAGACATTAATCACGCCTAGATTTGTGTTTGGTTGAATACTGGGGGACTGTTGCTTTGCCAAGTTGACACATTAAATGGACCACCATGTGTCTAAAGACCAACTGAAATCAGATGCAGTGTGAAGAGAGGTGAGCAGGTGCGATGGTCACAAAGACAAGGTTTGGGGAGAAGCTATTCCGTGGAGACGGGGCGAGAGTGAGCTGCCAAATAGGGTCACAGGGCTTTTGCTGTTCTTGTTTTGTTTGATAGCCCAGACAGAAAAATGTTACGTTTATTGGAATTACCCAGTAAAAGGGGGGATAAGGTGGTGTTGAAGGGGAGTTCTGGACTCAGAGGACATGCTGGTGTGTGAGTTTGAGTAGAAACTGTGAGACATTTTATTTTTATCTGAACGGAAAAAGCACCAAAGCACAGGACCAGTGACCAAACACTACCAAGCGCCCGCTTAAGGGTCAGTCATCCCAGGGGGAACGTTCTGTGCCAACAGCCCCTGAAGGGGCTGACTTCCTGTCCCTAGGGCTATTGTCCTGGGGGTAGTTTACCCCCTTAGAAGAAGAGGAGTCCACATAAGACTGAGCTACTTCAAAGTCAGAAGCACTTAGCAGATTGATGAGCCTCTTAATACTGTAGGACAATTTGCATGTCACTGTAGGCACTATCATCAAGAGAGAATCCCTTGCTGCTGACAGATTCTCAAAGGAACCATCCCCAGAAGAAGTTAAATGTGTTCCTCAAAGGCCTCGTTCAACCCTGCAGTCTTTTATTTAAAGTGATGCTATGAGTATTTCTTGCAGCAAGAACAATTCCATCAAAAACAAGGACAGCTGACTGGACTGAGAGAAAACAAAAATATGAGGACATGTTAATGAGTAATGTGATTATTAAACCAAAATAGATGGCTGAAGTAATAACATAAATAACCCTTTTAGTTCAACATGAAAGCTTCATGTTGTACTTAAAAATCAACCTTTTAGTAATATCAACTGCCATCAAGAGAAGATGTAACAGCACATGTACCACATCTTTAGCACTCATCCATCAATGCACACCTAGGTTGCTTCCATATCTTGGCTATTATAAATAATGCTGCAGTGAACACAGGGGTGCATACATCTTTTTGAATTAGTGTTTTCATTTTCTTTACTCAGAAGTAGAGTTGCTGGGCTTATGGTAGATCTAATTTTTTTAGGTTTTTGAGGACTCTCCATACTGTTTTCCATGGTGGCTGCACCAATTTAAATCCCACCAACAGTGCTTAAGGGGTCCCCTTTCTCCACACCCTCACCAACACGTGTTGTTTGTAGATTTACTGATGAAAGCCATTCTCACAGGTGTGAGTTGATATCTCATTGTGGTTCTGATTTTCATTAACCTACTGATTTCTGATGTTGAGTATCTTTTCATATGTCTGTTGTCCATGTGTTTGTCATCTTTGGAAAAATGTCTTTTCATGTCTTCTGCCCATTTTTTATTGGGTTTATTTCTTGCTACTGAATTGTATGCAGTCCTTGTATATTTTGGATATCAAACCCTTATCTGATATGTAATTTGGAAGTGTGTTCTCCCATTCAGTAGGTTGTCCTTTGTTTTGTTGCTGGTTCCTTTAGCTACGCAGAGCAATTTAGTTTGATGGAGTCTCATTTGTTTATTTTTGCTTTTGTTTTCTTTGCTCAAGGGAACATATCCAAAAAGATATTACTCAGATTGATGTCAAATAGTTTACTACCTATGTGCTCTTCTAGAAGTTTTATGGTTTCAGGCTTTACAATTACAATGGAATATTACATAGCAATAAAAAAAGAATAAAATCTAGCCATTTGTGACAACATGGGTGGACCTAGAGGGTATTATGCTAAGAGAAATATGTCAGACAGAGAAAGACGAATACCATGAGATTTCACTTATACATGGGGATATAAACAAATAAAACAAGGCAAAATCAGACTCAGAAACAAGGATCCAAGGTATGGTTACCGAGGGATAGGGCAGTGGGTGAAAGAGATGATGGGGAATGTGGACAATAATATTGTGGTAAGTTTACATAGTGACAGATGAGTATTAGAATTAGTGTGGTGATCACATCTTAAGGTGTAAAACTATCAAATCTCTATATTATACCCCTGAAACTAATATAACCAATATAATATTGTATGTTAAATATAATTAAATAAAAAACTAATTGATTAATTTTCAAAACAAAGAAAAGAGGTAATAAGAGAATTGGATGTCCTAGGATGCTGGGATAGGAAGCATATGCCTTGCAGATGTCCTGGGTTTTGTGCTGTGAGGATGGAGTGGAAGGCAGCCTCTCCTTGGCATAAGGGTTTGTCAACACATCTGTTGTAAAGCGCATCCTTCCTGAAAGGCCTTGGTCAAGATAAAGTCATTTTGCAAGTAAATCTCCTCTGTGCAGGACTTTATTTTTAGTAAACACTCTATGTCTCTAGCTTCCCTGGGGAGCTTGTTAACACTCAGCTTTCTGAATCCCTCTCTCCAGAAGTCATGGTCCAGTATGAACAAGACAGGGCTAAGGAAATGCATTTTTAAGAAGCTCTCCAGATGATTCTTCAGACTTTTAGTTGATCATACAGTGGAAGAGAGTGCAAGTGCGTAACCCATTAATTAGGCCCTACTGTAACTCAAACCAGGAATCTATTCAACTAATTTATACTAAAGTGGTAGTGATCAAAAGAGTTTATTTATTAGGGACCATAGCATATAAGCAGGAAATGTCACTGTTAAGGCAGAAAAACTATTTTTATGCAATTTTATATTTAAATATAAAACCTGAAGGGGGAGAATTATAGGGATGAAAACCTTTGTTGTATAATTTTGACCTTATTTTAGAGCGGTTGCCAGTTCTCCCCATGTTTACAACCTTCTCTTCACACAAGATAGGCTCTGCTTTTAAGTTCAGTACAAACGACTCCCAGAGGAAAGAAGAGTTGGCATCAGCCCAGGAGAGAGCCGTCCGTGGGCTACACTGGGCTGAAATGTCCCCTCTCCTTGTCTAGAACACGGGGCAGGAGACGTGTTGTCTCCCCTCCTGCCTCTGAGAGAGGGGAGAGCTTTAGAGTATTCACCCCCTGCTCGGAAAGCGCTGAGCTCACATTATTATTTTATTGCAAGGACAAATGGCAACTCAAACGTCAAAAGCTCTTAATGTTGAACTTTATTTTTAAGCTATTATTATCTGTTACTTCCAACCGAGCGCTTTCATTCCTAAATAGATTTTTTTCTCTCTTCCCTGGGTTGAATTTCACATTTCCAAATGTTTTTAAGTTATTAAAGCCCATTAAAAAAAACACGGTACTGTGTGGCTAGTGCCCCCCGGTACTTACTATAGGAGCACCCGTAGACCTCCACGCGCATGCCAATCTTCCCACTTGGGTTCCACTCCAGGGGCACGAAGCGCACAAAGCGGGCTCTCACTGGGTGCAGCAGCCGGTGGTGCATCACGCCATCCGCATTCGTGTTTCCCGCAAAGGTCTGCAGAGACAAGAGGAGCCCAGTGAGGCCTGTCGCTCATGGCATCTCCTTCGCATGCCAGAATGCAAGGAAAACCACACGTTACTCTACAGAGCTTTTCAGGGAAAATTCTCATTCCTCAGATATTTCAAATGAACTCTGCATTATATGTTGTTATATTTTTTGGAAACACTGTACATTACTCTTTAATCTGCCCCCTCAGTTTCATCAGTAAGTCAAACCTAGCAAGTCATAAGATGCGACACCTAAGAGCTTTAGAAGTAATAATGTAATGAAGTTCTGCTCTTCCTAATTCTCACCATCCCTGTGCTATGGGAGATAGCTGACAGCCCCTGCTAGAAGGAAAGGCTTGTTTGCAGTAATTGTTACTAATTGAGTCAGCCACTATGCTAAGCACTTTCCATTATTACCATTTTGCAAATATAAACAAAACACTGAAGCCTAGAAAGAAATAAAAAGGGGAAGAAAAATTCTTCCAGTTATCCAGCTGGTTAGTAGTTGGTCTGAGACTCGGTTCCAAGTTTTTCCTGTTCCAAAGCCTGTGGATTTTCTAAGCCTCATACTCTTCAAGATTCCATTGTTGATTGTTACAAGACAGGTAAAAGGAAGATCCAATTTTTATGTAATTCATTTTCCCATTTCCTTGTGAAATTTAAGCAAAGGAACAGGTAACATGGGAGCTAAAATTATGCCTCCTGGCGTTCATTTGGATAAATAATTTCTAGAGTCAAAATTTTTCTTTTCCCATTGGAGTAAAATACATATAATGTAAAATTTACCATTTTAACCATTTTAAAGTCTATACTTCAGTGACATGAAGGATATTCACATTGTTGTTCAACCATCAAGCACCACTATGTATCCACAGAACATTTTCATCAATCCCATTGTACATATCAGCTAGCACACTGATTTGTTTGCTTCCTTATGAGTCACCCTCTGCCTTCTTTTCTGACTCAAGTATTCATAGATAAAGCCTGCTGGCTAATGTCCTTCAATGTCAGCCAATAAGTGAAAGATCCATTGTTTTCTCAAATGGCCAAAGTGAACACCAACTAAATGATTTATCTATTTAATGAAATTCATTTTCAAAGACACAAAACTCAACCTTGGTGTATCCTTAACACACTCTTGGATCTAAAATACCTTGAATAATCTGACATTCTGGTGCACAGAAAACACACACTGGCTAATAACTGTCACATTGAACTATTGATTTAATCACCATTAAAATCACAAAATGGCTTATGAAGAAGCCACTTCCTACTTTTCAGCTATATCTGCAACAAAACCCTGTGTAAGAGAATAAGCTGGTGGAGAGAAATTTCTTAAGATTCAAACACAACATTCCACAGATTTCTCAGTTTTGCTCAATTTCTCTTTATCCAAAAAAGAATATCTTTATCTGGCAGGCTGGTCCTTCCATATGTCTTCTCCCAACTTTAGCAACTGGCACAGGTATAACATTTCCTCAATCCCTTGCTCATTTAGGACTGACTCTTTCTGGTGAAGTATAGTTCTTTTTAAAATTCACTTGAGCTGATACTTTAATATGCATTTTTTTGAGGGGGGGTGTGATGATTCTGTGGCTTTGCATTTAAAAAATATGTCTTTATTGTTTTCAGAGACAGTAAGGGAGAGGGAGAGGGAGAGAGAGATAGAAACATCAATGATGAGAGAGAGTCATTGATGGGCTGCCTCCTGCACAGCCCCCCCCCCCC